AGGCCCAGGAGAGGTTCCCACTCTGGAGTCAGCCACACCTGCTGATAATAACACACACCTGTTGCTGATGAACCCAAAAAAGACATTACATAAAGAATCCTGAACAGAGAAAATCGAACAATGGCTCAAATCAAATCAAATTTAAACAGTAAAAATAAGTGCCAATGTGATGTTCAAATACAATCATTACACTAACGACATTACAAAATCAAATGTATTAAATTTTACTTCACAGTAATACATTGACTTGGATCATTTTCATGCATTGATACAAACAATGTTGACAGTTTAACAAATGTTTCCTAAAGAATAATGACATGATGAGATAGCCTTTATTTGTCAGTTGCAGTTGCCCACAACTGAGATGACAGACCTTGTCGATCGTACATACAATACACAGACATCACATTGGGGACACAGGTCAGGCTAGGTAGCAAGGGGGAAAAAAAACATCGAAATGTGTAACACAAAAGGATAATCCAGGAATGCACAGATATCAACACACCATAACACAATAAAACACAGACAAGCAACATGGGAAAATATTCCAGTGTGTATAGCTGGGTCTGGGACCGCTGCAATCTTCGATCACGGCTCCAGCTGATCTGCTGTCCACATCGGATGGGAGGTAAGCATGGGAGTAGGCGTTGGATTCGGGGGAAGGAGGGTGATAGTACGTATCAGTATCAATGTATGTGTGTGTGTGTATCCCGTGTTCAGCTGAGAGAAATGTCACCACACCCAGTTAAGCGAAGGTCAACAGTCTTCAGTGGACCCAGGTGGCCTTGAAGGATGGACAAAAAGTTCTCACATCATCCTGTTTATCATGGAGAATTTTTGTAGTTCCAGTCAGGTTCGACCTTGGCAGGCCTTCAGCTGGCACCAGTGGGACAGCCGCATGAGTGAAGATGGTGAATGTTTGGGTTTCGTGCAAACAACTGCATCCAATTTTTACAGTTGGACTAATGTCTGTCACTGGTCACCAATTCTCTCAATTCCTGTTCTTCTTCTCTAAGATCTTATCCATATTGCGTTCAATAACACAGTCTTACTCACAGCCCTGCCCATCGTCTATCATGTTGGCCAGCCTTGTGGGATTTTGAACAGCTGTAGCTGCTTCTTGTTCTTCGATAAGCCAGGTCCGAGCCAGCTCCAATCAGCCAGAACTCTGTTATCATGGTTCCGAATTGGTAGATGTTGTTCAATGTCCTCCATCGAGAGTATCGCCAGACACACAACGCAACCGACCATCGAGTATCCGGCAGCAAGCGTCTCCGCGGGACAATCGGGCTCTCCCAAGCCCAGGAAGGTGTCAATTTCGTTACGGGACCAGTTGACCAAATCCATAATTCTTTAGGTTTTAGAGAACAAGACTGAGAGACTCTTTGAGGGTTAGAGTTAGACAAGACTAGACAAAGACAAAGAAGCAGCAGCAGGGACGATAAGGGAGGGAGAGGGTGAAAGATGCGTCCGCTTTCTCCGAGAGCCAAAGAGAAAATAAGGAAAACTACTACTTTTCAAGGGGCCCAGGAAAATAAACCAATTCATTCTTTTACAAAAACATCAAATGTAGTAAGCCAAAATATCAAAGAAGACATGTTTACAGTTCTAAAGTAACTGTTCTACATTTCTAGGCTCCTCTCCAGTCAGTGCTCCAAAGGAACAGTTACTCTGAAACTGTAAACATGTCTTCTTCGGTCTTATAGCTTACACGTTTTTACAAAATAACGTTTTGATATATTTTCCAGGGGACTGTAAAAAGCCAGCTTTATTTTTTCTTCAAGAAGCAATGGTGTCGTAGGATGATGTACCAAGTGTAAGTATTAGCATGAAGTAAAATATATTTAAATTTGTAATATCATACTTGATTGTATTTAAAGCTTTAATTTTTACCTGTACTTTTTAAATGTTATTCACTTTGCACTGTTACTCAATTTCTTCTTTTGGACCTCATCTTCTTCTTCGTCTGTGATGACACAGTTGCTTGGCTCTGCTCCACAGTCAGTCTTCCTCAGACAAGTTACAGTGGAGCTATTAACATTTCTTTTTGCATCTTGTGCCTTCCTGCATTGGATGTTTTTTGCAAAAATGTTTTTCAGGTATTCTGGGGCACATGTTCAAACAATGAAGGTTTATTTCTTAAAATCATTTATTAATCAAAAGACACAAAATCATCTTTTTCACCCCCAAAATATATGTTCAAAGCACCACAACGGCCCAATATCACACAGAACAGTCTCGTGATATTAAAGAGAAGCTGTCAATTTAACCCTATCGAGTGGGCAATCACCGCGAAGCAGTTCATATCAAGTTGTAGATTCAAGCTGCTCAACAAATTTTTGGATACCAGATGTCACCAAAGAGGACTTGGTTGGCAAGCTTTGAGTAATGAATGAATGGGTCACAGAACAAAACAAGCACACTCATTCAATAATTGTTTAAGTACTTATTCTATAATAAGTACTTCAACAAGAGAGAGGAACATAGGGTGATGCATGGAGGGAATTGAGGGAAGTGCACACAGGTGGACTACATCTTATATAGAAACCCCAAAAGAGGATTCTGTTCATCTAGACGCAGCGTTTTCAGTGGGAGAAACGTATCCAGGTCACTTCTTTAGACTCAGCTGACCGCACGTTTCCCCAATCTTATAAACAGTACTTTTGCATAATAACTGAAACTAGCACCACTGAAGGAACAATGGGCTGGGAGGTCAGTTCCTTGATCATTAACATGCAAATACTCATGACCAATGGCCATGAGTACCATTCAAGTATCAAGAAGAAGTGATGACGGCAGCAGCATCCTTGCTGGAGATGCAAGAATGAGATGGTTTGGACATGTGCAGCAGATAGTGGATATACTGGACAATGGAAGTTGACTATGGAGCTGGAGAAGCTTAAATTACTTAAGCATAAAAACACGGATCAATGCTGTAAACTACACAGACTGCCATAGAGTAAAGTTAAAAACCCAGTCATGGAAAAACTAAATAATTTATCATTTCATCAGGTTAGATCAGTGGTCCCCAACCTTTTTTGCGCCACGGACCGGTTTATGCCTGACAATATTTTCACGGACCGGCCTTTAAATACAACAAAATAAAACTAGTACCAGTACCGAAAAAAAGAAGATTTATTAATAACACACGTGAAAAGACCCAGGAAAACCGAGTTTACGATAAAATCGATAACAAAATAACACTGAAAACCGATAAAAACCCTGAAAACCATACATTTCACACCTGAGCCTCAACTCTCGCGGCCCGGTACCAAACGACTCACGGACCGGTACTGGTCCGAGGCCCGGGGGTTGGGGACCGCTGGGTTAGATGGTATTGAGGTCAAATTAAAACTCCAAACAGCTAACTCCCAAGCAGATTGTTGATATATATTCAATGCGGTATTAACTTGCATAGCTAAAAGTACATTTCTTTGAAATAATTACTTATTAAATGAATAATGACTTTAGTATTCAGAAACTTTTATTGTGAAAAAAAAAGGTATTAAAATCATCCATCATGGTTTGTTTTGATGACATGCTTTTCACCATTAAAAAGCTCACAGAGCCATTATAATAAAATGTTTTGACACAAAATAAAATGGTAAAAAGTCACTCAGCAGTTACACTGTAAAAACACTGATGGGTGTTTGTGTCCCAGTGACTGATGAGAGTTATTTTACTGGTACTGACTGTGTGTAAGAAAGTCCCCACTGGGATTATGAAGGGTGCGCTTGAGCTTTTTTGGCTTGTTTTTCTTGATGCTGTGTGGAGAGGGCAGCACAGAAGTCTTTGACAACTGCGTGGTGAAACTGCAATCAGCTGTTCGTTTTCGCTCTTTCATGTCAGTTTCACGCCCTTCTTTGGATGTGATTAAACGTCCATAAGATTGTTCTTTACTCCATAGTGAAACATTATGAGCAGATTTCCCCTTTGTCTTCTTTTTGCTATCTTTTCTGGGTGTATCTAAAGATGGTGAAGCATGTTCAAACAGACTTTCTGAGTCAGTTTCTTCACTTGCAGCTGCTGGAGTTTCTTGGATACTTTTTTCCCTCTTCTTTTTTAACACCACAGCCTCATCAGAGCATCTTGTATCAGCATTTTCTGATCCTTTCACAGGGGTCGCTGACTTGGTTTCGTTCCTCTTACGTTTCTTTTTCTTCTTCTTCAGCCCTGTGTCAGACAGGGCCTCCTCAAGTTCCTCAAAATCTGGTTCCGGATCTTTTTCCACACTCTCTTGTTCAGTTAACATTTTCCTCTTCTTCTTTTTCCTGACTCTGTCATTAGATTCGTCCAAACTTACAGTGATTTCTGCTGATTCAGCAGGACTGCCGGTGCTGACGCCTGGCTTTTCAGCAGCCACAGATTGCAAAGGACAATGTTTTTCTTCCTCTGAATGAGCAGCTTTTCCCTCGACATCAGCACCGAGGAAGAAAGATTTCCTCTTCTTTTTTTTCCGCTGCACAGACAACAGATCAGAGCTTTGTGCCACAGTGTCATTTGAGCCCTCCATGCTTGACATTTTTTTCATTTTCTTCTTCTTCTTGGTCATCAGTAAACCAGCATCATGGTCTTCAATCTCATCTGTTTTCTGTGGATTTTCTTCATCTTCGGGAGTGTTAGATTCATCTCTTTGAGATGACTTTTTGTGCTTTTTTCTTTTTGCACAACTGGATTCCAAAGTTTTCTCAAGGTTTTCCTGAAAAGCTTCAGTATTTCTGAAACCTTCATCTTCATCTTTAAACTCTTTCTTTTTCTCTGTTCCTTTTTTCTTCTTCTTTGTTGGTATCTCCACATCATCGTGAAGAGATTCAGGAGCGGTGTTGCACTTTAACCGCTCGACATCTTCCTCCTCACCATCGTTGCTTTCTGACATTTTCTTTTTCATCTTCTCCTTTTCGTGTTCTTCACGTGACTTCTTTCTTTTCTTCTTTTTCTTCTTCTGTTGTGAATGAGGAATGTCACTCTCCTCCTCCTCAATGATTTCCTCATTCGCAGATGCTGCAGCACCCTGAACCTCCAGCTCATCCTGACTCAGGCTCTGTTCTTCTTCTGCATTTTTGTTTTCGTTGTTGTCCTCTTTCACCTTCTTCTTTTTCTTCTTCTTTTTCTGTTGTGTATCAGTCACGTCACTGTCCTCCATCACAGTTTTTCCGGTACCATCAAGCACACTGGTGACCTGTGCCACACAGGGAGTCTCCTGCTCCACCTCAGTGATTTTGTCATTCACAGATGCGGCATCGTGCTGATCCTCCAGCTTGTCCTGACTCTGGCTCTTTTCTTCTTCTGCATTTTTGATTTCTTTGTTGTCCTCTTTCACCTTCTTCTGTTGCGAATCAGGAACGTCACTGTCCTCCAAACTGATTTTTGCATTAAGATCCAGCTCATTAACAGTCTGTGATAGATGTTGAGTCTCTTCCACTTCAGTGATTTCCTCATTCAAAGATGATGCAGTGTGCTGATCCTCCAGCTCGTCCTGGCTCTTTTCTTCTTCTGTATTTTCGTTTTCTTGCTTGTCCTTTTTCTTCTTCCTCTGTTCTGAATCAGAGATGTCACTCTCCTCCATCCTATTTTTTTCATTAAGCTCCAGCTCGCTGATGGTCTGTGACAGATGAGGACTTTCCTCCACCTCAGTGATTTCCTCATTCACAGTCAGTGCAGCATACTGAACCTCCACCTCCTCCTGACTTTCATCATCAGCTTCTTCTGCACTTTCATTATGTTCTCTGTGATTTTGCTTCTTCTTCACTTTGGTTTCACTGCATGTAGCAACATTATTGGTGTCACTCTGGAAGAAACTTTGGTCTGCAGGCTCACTGTCTCCCCGCCCTTCCTGGGATAGCTCCTCTTTGTTTGAAACTCTGCACTTTTGCATGCATTCCTTTGGACTTTGTGGAGGACTGCTGTCACTCAGCTCATCCTCCATTTCTTTTCCCTCAGAGCTGTCTCTCTTTTTACTGTTTGTCTTTAGAGTTACGGTTTGAGCGCGGACGCTTTGGGGTGTGAGCTGTTTATTACTCGTCCTCTTCTCTCTCAGAATGCTACAAGAAGGATCTTCATCATCAGAGCTCTCCAAATCTGAAGACTGTGCAGCTCTCAATGAGGGTTTCTTAGCTGGTATTTTATGTAACACAACCCCCCATCCTCCTGGTGGCATTTCATCACCAGTAAGTCCTTCCCTCCACTGTTTTCCTTTACTATTTCTCTTCTTCTCGCTATACCAGGACTGTGAGTGTCTCCTTTTTGATGGTATCACAAAATGCTTCTTTGCCTGTCGAATGACACACAACTTAGGGCCTGTACATGCTCATAAAGTGCTCATTATAGTATCAAGAGCCTGCTTACCACCACTTTCATGTCCTCGTCTCCTACATTTTCTTCTTCTCCCCTGAAATAGAAGAAAGGAAGTTGTTGAATTACCAAACATTTCAGCTGTATTTCTTAATGCCTTTAATATGCTTTAGTGTGTTTCAAAGTACTTTACATGCAGCTGATAAACTGGTAAAACGTGTCAGTAATATGTTTGAATACATCTGTTCAATGAAGGTTTCTTTTTGGAAGAAATGGATGTAAACAAAGCAAAACCCGACAGATTCCACATTGAACTTTACACTCTGGTGACAGATTTCACCCTCTGTCAGAGTCCAGTTCCCACTGCTCTAATGTCCACTCCTCGTGTCTTAGTCCACACAGCTCTCTTCTTACTATTGGCTAATTCACACGCACCTCTTTTGCCTCAGTTCTGCATTGGTGCTTTTACAAATCGGCTCACATTTTGACAGATTTGAGACCTGAGCTTTACGTGGCTGTGCCAGCAGATGTTAGGCAAATTTATGTGGGAAGAAAATCATCACTCCTTCAAAAGTGAGATATGTCTGCAGCTCTAATCTGAGGTGATGTTAATAGTTTGTTTCATCAGGCTGGTACCTTCTGCAAACACCCCCTCTGCAGTAAAGGGAACTTTCATTAACACTTTTCTGGAGTAGACCTCATCATCGTCTGACAGTTTCATCACATGCGATGGGTTTTGAGGACTCAACTTACTTTCAAGTTCTTGACAAAGACAAGCATCAGTCCCTGAAGGCCAAAGAGGATGGAGAATGTCAAGAACTTCACCTTCATGGTCCGATGATTCATTTTTCGATTTTTGTTAATATGCTATGAATGATCCTAGTTGTGTCTCTCATGGTCTAAATACATAAAGGAGGAAAACATCCCACCACTCCTCTTTTGACAAGACTCGGGAGTTGCTTGAACATGTTCCAGAAGAAAAAGTGGCAACTTTGAGGCATCTGAAACACAGCCTGCTTTCTTTGCTATTTTTTTCGCTACATTATTCACCAGTTTCCAATATATATTACTGTTCTACAATGTAGTGAGAATAGTAAAACATGAGACAGGAAAAAATGATTCAAATGCATAAAAGGAAGTGAAATGCAGTGTAAAAACATAAAAACAAGCTTTAAAGGCAACTAAGGAAATCAGTAACAAAACAACATTTCAACTAGCATTAAAGACTTACTCTGATATTGGAGATATGCACTCTCCATTCATGTCAATTGCTGGTAAATTTGACTCCAGATCCTCTACGGTTTGATAGCTCTGTTGCAGCTTTCTTATACAATCAAAGAAGGCCCCCACTGAAGAATACTGGAACAAATAAAAGGCTTTAGTTCTAACATTTGCTGGCATTTGCTGTAACAAGCGTGTGCTCTGCTGCTGTTGCTTATGCTTACATGTAGCCTCGTGTTTTGCACTTCACTTAAAAAAATGCCCTTGGCTTTCGGCATCTTGTCTTTGAGGAACGGGAAACTGTACTTTGGCATTCTGAGTTTTGTCTCTTTTTTTTTCCTTTTACTTCTGGTGTCTTGAAGGGAGGCCGAAGGTGAACTGTCATCTTCACTTTCCTCTCGCTCTCTGGGAGACGTGAGACCTGATCGTGGGCCGCGGCGCTTCCGTCTTCCTGACCTCACGGCCTCAGGTACAGGCTTCTGAGTGATGAACAGGCTGTCCGCTGAGTCACTGCGCAGACACAATTATATGGTCAGTGTGTCAAGCTCAAGAGTTTTTGCAGTTTTCAAAACATTTTCATGACCTGGAGGCAACAGACAAACAGACATATTTTAAACACATTCAAGTGCGAATCCATTTTTCTAGAATTTGGTCCTAAGCACATCCTCAGATTTGGGCGTCTAAAATCACCGGCTGCTTTGTGAAGTGTACATTGATTTTGAGATCTGCTGGCCACAGAGGCAATTTGAGTGCAAAGAACTCATTGTCGTGCTCAAGAAACCAGTTTGAAATGATATGACCATGCCAGACATCAGAAGATGGTTTGACTTTGGCGATAGAGACATAGTCAGCAACGATCCTCAGACACGCTCTGGCGTCAAATTTAGGGTTGGTGGGCATCAAGAGGATTAAGGTGTGCCAAGAAAATATCCCCCACACCATTACATCACTTCAGTGGTCTTCGATGCTGATATAAAGCAGGATGGAATAATGCAGACAGATACTCTTCTGCATATCTTGGATGTAAAATGTAATTGAGTAACTGTTGGCTTCAATAATGTTCACAGGATATTTTCTCTTTTTTGGATCATTCTCTGTAAACCAGAGCAATGGGTCTGGGGGGAAATCCTAATAGATCAGCAGTTTGTGAAATACTTGGACTTCAGCACCAACAACTATGCCACTTTCAAAGTCACTTAAATCACATTTACTCCACATTCTGATGCTCGCACAGGAAAGTGACTGTATTTAACTTTTAAAAAGGTATTGTTGAGGTTTTTCTCAATCACCAACATCTGTTTCAGCCCCTCCACCTGTAGGCCTTTGGGGCAAGGGCTTACTTATTTTTTATACTCGATTTAATATGTGATATATTAGTTTGGAGAAATGAGCTCAGACCCTAGCGATCAAACTTTATTTTTATTCTGCAAAACTGGAGGTTTCCCACTGAAAAGTAGGCCCTGGAAAAATATGTTTACTGAACTTGAGTGCAGTATCGTGTACAGGATAATGAGTGAAACTGGAGGAGGTGGTGTACAAAAGCAGTAACACCCTGACCATGAGGAGGAAGGATGTGTGGTGTTGTGGCAAGGAGAAAGGTGCAGAAGAGTACAGAGGATGGATGGAGGATATCTGACCGTTCTTCCTTTATTACATTACAATATAGAGCATTTATTTAGCAGACTGATGTCAATCTTCTGACACAGTACACTATTTACCTTGTTGTACCGTGTTATGGGATCATTGCAAGGAAGACTATCGGTTTTTCTTTGCATTACCTACAAATCCAAGTGCTCTTTTATGAAATACAATGTTAATATTGCGTTCACGAAATTTGGGGTTATCTTTAGTGTGTGTGTGTCTGCATGTGTGTGCTGTTTGTGAAAAATACAGACATGTAGATACATTTGTCAGAGTATCTGAGCCGGAGTGACCTCCACTCCTCACCTGTCTGCTTCAGTGGGCTCTCCTTCGGCTGCACCATCCTCTCTGTTCTGACTCGAACAGAGAACAGAAGAAGACTCTATAAACCTCGAAATTCTGTCCACATATTCAGGAGGGAACGTTTCCAGCACAAAATCCGATGGATCCGCTGCGGCAACTTCAGCAACAGCGTCGGATTCAGTCCACTCATTGGACCGACGCACTTTCGCCATCGTAGGACTCACCGAAGGATCCGTGAAAAATCTTAGACATGAAACACGTAAATACAAGAATCTTCACCAAAACACGCAAAACACTCCACATGCGATTCGACCTGGAAGTGTTTAGACGTCACCGAGATGACGATGGTCATCTGACCAATCGCCAAAGAGGCGGCAGACGATACTAAAAGAATCAAGAGGTTACAGTGTTTACACTTCCGGTTTTGTCTCCAGCTGAGCTCTATATAAGATTTTCTTTTGTGGGTTGATGGCTCCTGCATCAACTCGACATAACAATGAGCCTCACGCAGAGATAGAATTAATATTAATATTGCAATTAGCAGTAATAATGGTATTAGTTCCGTTCAGACAGCGAAGCACGAGCAGCTCGTTTTCTGTATGAGACTGTGCACCAAACCGGCTTATACACTACATATATCCACAATCTGTTCAGCAACTTGCGACAAATGTAAAGTGTCTCCTGATGTGTGAATCACATTCATCGTCCTTGTCGTGGTCTGCATTATTTAATGAGCTCTTGTGCAGTTCGTAGAGTTGGGAGATTTCCCGAGCCCAAAGACCCCACATCTAGAGCCAACCAATAATAATGCTTTCCTTTTTATCTAGAGGGAATTATTAATTATTACGGCGAATATGGGCAATTTTTTGTTCGATTTTCTAAGTGAAAGAAATAACCAATGTCTTTAAATTGGATGAGGAAACACTTCCGGGGAGGGTTATCATCTTGTTCTTATTTACTCTTTGTTTGAAGTTAACCCTGGTCCTGTCCGCTTTTCTTATCCACTTTCCCTGCACCTCTAAACTGTATCCCAGCGCGCGCACTCTCAGGTGGATCTATGGCAGACACCAGCAAAACCGAGAAGGTTCAGCTGCATGCCCCAGATCTAGAAGAGCTGCGTGGGGGTAAGCTCTGATATATAAGCGCAAAGTTGTGCATGCGTGTTCATGTGACTCGGCGCTAATGAAGGTGTTTGGTTGCAGTATTACAAGCAGGACTGGAAACCAACTTTGCTGAAGTTCAAGTGAGTGTTGTGGAGTGTCCGGATCTCACCAAAGAACCCTTCCAGTTTCCTGTCAAAGGTAGGAGCCTATCAAGAACACAAGTGTGATTAAAAACGAATGCATATGCATTTTGGTCAATTTAAAACACTTCATAAAACATGCATATGAGTGGGGATGAGCTTCATTTGAAGACTGCGTATCAGAAACACCCTGAAAGATTCTTAATTTCGCCTGTACCCTGCAGGCTTGTGTGGAAGCCCTCGCATCACTGATGTTGGTGGTGTGCCATATCTGGTGCCTCTGGTCAGAAAGGAAAAGGTAGGTTTTAAAATAAAAGAATTGCATTGAGAAACTTTAATGAAAGGTTTTGCTAAAGCATATTCAGCATCTTCTTCTACTGTCAGGAATACAACATGAACACTGTATCAAAGGAGCTGGAACTTCCAGGCGCTTTCATCCTCGGTGCAGCAGCTGCTCCCAATAGAATAGTTGGAATGAACGCAGAGGTGAATTGCCTTCCTTCTAATTCAAAGTGCTTCACTCAGCAAATGACCTCAGTATAAACTAGCTGTCATTATAATCTTGAAAGGGCAGTTTGGTACGGCAGCAGTCAGTGGAATGAATGTTCTTGTCCACAGCTGATGCCTCTGGTTCTGACCGAGGCAGGGGGAAGGCCCGCAGTGAACAGCAGCTACTTCTCCTCCATCAATCCAGCTGACGACCAGTGTCTGCTAGAAAAATACAGCGACAAGTTCACAGACTGCAACTTTGGGTTGCTGGGAAATCTGTATGCTTGCGAAGGGAAACCTGGAAAGGTAATCAGTCATAGCCTTTTAAAAAATGCACTCTCATCCTGATTTGGCTTTTGGAAAATAACGAACTAGTTATACTTAAACATAATTATCTGTAAGTTAATAACATTTCTGATGTTGTTTTGCGTGAACTTTAGCCCCATTTAATGAGAGAATAAACATTAACAAGAGTTGTGTGCCTAAACATGCTGAGTTGGTAGTCTTCACCCGTGTGCCTCTGCAGGTCATAGAGGTTCAGGCGAAGAGGAGAACAGGAAGTCACAGTCTGGTAACGGCCTTGCGGACGAGCCTTGAAGCTCATTACCCTGATAAAAGTCTGGCCCTGGGAGGCACCTTCATCATCCAGAAAGGGAAGGCTAAAATCCACATCATGGTAAATAGTGGACATGACACAGAGCATGTTACAGACTGCTGCTGGCACAGCCACGTGCTTTGATTTGTTTCCTTGCCTGTCAATAGCCAAGAGAGTTCTCAGTCTGCCCCCTCAACACCAACGATGACGTCAACAACTGGCTCAAGCACTTTGAGGTCAGCGCTCCACTCATCTGCCAGTCGGTGCTCGTATCCAGAGACCCTGTAAGTTAAAGCCAATAGACTCACACCTCAGCGTGATGCAGAAAAAGATCTGGTTATAGTTTTATTACCTGATTACGGTGTTTTTGTTCAGTAGGCTTCTTTATAATGTCCGCCTGGTTGCTTTGCAGGGCCTGGACCTGCGTGTGGAACACACCCACTGCTTCAGTCACCACGGAGAAGGTGGCCACTACTACATAGACACTACACCTGACAGTGTGGAGTATCTGGGCTATTTCATGCCTGCAGAGTTTGTCTACCGCATCGACAGGCCAAAGGAGACCCACGGTGTCGGACGAGATTAAAAAACTGCATAAAACATGTTGGCAGCACAGAATCTTCTCATAATCTAAACTGAGGCGACTCATTGATTCATTTAAAGCATGTTACATTTCACACATAAAAAAGTCACTGTACATGAATCAATAAAATAAAATAAAAGAATCCCAATGAAGTGATCTGAATTGTGTGAAGGAAAAAAAAGGTGGACAGTGACATCACAACGCTGATGTACTTTGGACCTTGGCCTACATTAATGCTTGCAGACTCTACTGCAATCAAAAAGGTTGTGCAACGTGTTGCAGGCTAGACTGTTGCAGTAGGTAAAGCTTCTTAGAGAAAGCTAGCTTTTTAAAAACCTCTGTGGCCAACCTGCCCACACCCTGGATTCACTTATTTGTATGATTAGGCCTCTTGTGGGTGTGTGCACAATGTGCTTGATTAATATCCACCTCACATCGCTTTCTTATACTTCCACTTGCTGAAACAGGGTAGAATAGCAGTGCTGGTGCTTAGAAAGACCAGTGGTGTAAGCGTATAACTGTGTACACCTAACCAGTGATATTGTTTTAAAGGAAATCAGATTTTAGTGTTTTAAATCAGTCTTGTGGCATTTCAAATAAATCTTTCCTCAGTGGAAAACTGTCACAGCAAAACCGATGGAAAGATGTGTTTCTTGTAAAGAACTTTGTCATTTAATTAATAAACTAAGACAATGATTTTCTTCTGAGTGGCTTTTTTTTTAATGTGTGTTGTAAAATAACTATATATTCTGTTTGGTAAGGTTCAAGTAAGCTGTGGGAAAGGCTGAACTGATTTTCTGTTGGTACCAAGGGGTCAAAGTGTGCCAAGGAAATATCCCTCACACCATGGCACCAGCCTCAGCCACTGAGACAAATAAGGATAGATGCATGTTTTTATGTTGTCTACATGAAATTTTGACCCTACCATTCGAAAGTTGTATCACTAAACAGTCATCACCAGGCCACGTTTTTCTAATCTTCTATCGCCCAGTTTTCATTAGCCGGTGCAAACTGTAGGCCTTCTTTGCTTTTTTTAACAGACAAATGTGATACGTGGTGTGGTTGTCTACTGCTTAGTCCATCTGCTTCAAGGTTCAACGTGTGTTCGAAGATGCTCTTCTGCATACCTCGATTGTAACAAGACAGTTAAATCACCTTTCTTCCCTATTCTCATGTTCTGTTGGAACTTCAGCAACCATGTCTTTGTGTCTGAATGAATTACATTGCTACTGTCTGATTGGGTGATAGTAGAACTTTGAGGCTTTCTAAATGTTTCCCCCTAGTATTTGGGGAAACCTTTTGGAAGGAACGTTTAAGAAATTTTCCCTAAAGGCTGTTTAAAGGTTCTTGTACAGCTACGTGTATAGCCAACAGGCATACAGGCTTTTAATATTATCTGTTTCACTGTGGGCATACCATGTTTCCAATATAATAATTAAATTAATTAAATTAATTTGTTTTTATTTTTATTTTATTTAAAATTTTTGAATACTTCTATCAAAATGTAAAAACCAAATCACTTATCAAAGGTGACTTTTATAGCTTTAATATTCTTCACGTTCAAAGAGCGCCCTCTGCTGACCAACGCAGGCGGTACACCATTTCCCACAATGCTGCTGCCGCACCAGCCCGGAAGTGAGACGTTTATTGACAATATGGCTGCCGAACTGGGTTTCGGATTTGCAGAAATATTTTAATTGACAGCGGTAGCCGTGGCTGCGACAATAACCCGTTTCCAGCTCAGGAGTGTACGCGACAGTTGCATTTGAATGAAGACAACCGCGAATCCACGGGATGGTGTCAGTGAGCTGAGGAAACGTCCAGAGTGTGAATCCCGTCATGTCGTTTTTCAAGAGGAAAGGTGAGGAAAAAGCTCCCGCTGAAGGCTGCAACGTCGACGGTAGCTAGCGCCGCGGAGAGGGGTGCCCGATAATATGTGACTGATGAGGTTGTCGGTGCATAAATTAGCCGTGTAAACTGAGGCGTTTGAGGGAATACGTTTTTCCTCCTTTGCCGCTGCTCCTTACTGCTTTTACATGATTAGCTTAGCGCTGGCCTCACTGCCCCCCCCCACTCCCCTTCCTGATTTATCTAACTTCATGTTAGCCGGGGTGGCATTAAATCCACCACAGAAACCTGCCACAAGTCTACATCAACGCCTTCCTGTATGCAGACATAATTCAGGGCTTCCAGAGCATCAAAGGAACACTGTTATCTGCTCCAAAGCAACGCTTGTGTCGAAATGTTCAATAGCAGCTATTGAACATAGCTGCTATTGACTATACCTCTGTTGAGGTATTTTCATACATACTTAACAAGCAAGATATGTCAGAAATATTACCGGTGACAGGTTGTGTCTCAGTCAGAGCTGTTAATTATCAAAAGGACACACGTTTCCTGTAACACATTTGGCTGTAGAGAACCTGGAGTTGGCTAATGCTAATTTTCAGTCACTATTGAGTAGAACCTAGATGGGCTGGGCCTGCGGTTTTCTATATTTTTTTGAACACAACGTGACAATGAATTTCAGTTCAAAGCC